TCTGGTTCCATAAGCGCGAAGCTTGTTTCAAGCCGTAGAGTCCTTTCAGTAGCTCACATACACGACCGCTTCCGTCATTGAAGTATGCGGGCTGCTCCATGTATATTTTCACAATTTTCAGCACACCATTAAGGAAAGCCGTAACGAAGTCAACATGGTAGCATTCTTAACCCAACAGAAATACCAGGATCAATAACATCCGCACAGTCTCAATTCGAACGACAGGAGAGTACGTATCCAAGTAATCAACACCGTACTTCTGTCCGCAGCCTTTCACTGCTAAACGAGACTTGAGTCTATCCACAAGCCCCTTTTCGTTGAGCTTGCCTCTCAACACCCACGTGGTTTTCAAAATGTTGCGCGAGCCTTTGGGTCTATCGACCAGTCTCCAGGTATTCACTTTGTGTGCCTCCATCTCGAGTTCCATCGCTTTGATCCACTTTTCACGTTGTGGAGACGCTAGAGCTTCTTCAACAGAAGCAGGATTTCCTGCGAAAGTCTCTAGTGCTTCCAAGGAAGCCATCACATAGTCTTTCAACCGCACATTCTCTTTTCGGATACGCTCTGATCGTCGCCATCCACGCTTGCGCTTCGAGCTGCGCCGCGGTTGGGATCCATTTAGGAAGTCCGGATTGCGTTCCGACCAAGGTCGAAGCTAATCCGTCGTTGGCATTTTGTCATCTATATCATCGTTCTCTTGTGACCCTCTGTCATTCGATGCACTTTCTGCTCCCACCGAACCTGCAGCCTCTGCTGCTAAGTCACGCTTCTCGGTGTTAGCTTGCTCAACCGGCTGATCATCTATCCGTGCAGCTTCATCAACAGCCTCTTGCACTGCTTCATGAGCTCCGGCCCGAACGGCTTCGTCAGCAACGTACTCCACTGGGAGTGGAACAAATGGTATCTGCGGGAAATAGTGCTGTCGGCCCTTCAACAGCGCGTTAATGTACGTGCGCTCGACCGTCACGTCCTCGCGGACCTTGACGTCGCGGGCTTCAATCATTTTCCCACTTCGCAGATGAAGCAGTCGGTAGCCATGACCCATCCTTGGAAACCCAAGAAATAGTCCCGGTTCAGCCTTCGCTGAAAGCTTGTTCTTCCTGGTCTTCTTCGGAACAAATACGTATCCCACACAGCCGCACACTTTTAGTTGCGCAACGTCAGGTTTCAATCCTGACAGCTTTTCAGTCGAGGTTAACCCTCGCAAAGCTTTTGTCGGGCTTAGGTTGTCCATCTCCACCACATAGCGCAAAACCTCCGGCCACAATATCATCGGCAAATTGGCCGCGTGCATTACAGCACGCATCTTGTTCACGAGAACACTATTTAGTTTTTCAACTAAGCAGTTTTCTTCCGGTGTGTACGGATGAGTGGGGACGAAGGTGATTCCCTTGCTCTCTAGGAACCCCGTCATCACACTGTTCACGTATTCCCCCCCCCTCCGTCACTCGTGAACGTTCTTATCCTTTTGCCTTGAGCCAGTAGCTCAGTCATCAGCCGTTGCGTGTTGCCAGAAGCTTCGCTCTTGTGTACGAGCGGATAGCACCACTTGTATCGTGAGCCTCATCATGAATGAGCTGGAAGTACCGCATTGCACCAATTCCTGGTCCGTACTTCCCCATATCACATACATCCGAGGTCAACCACTCAAAGTTTTGAGCAGTTCTTTTCTCAGTGACATCGCCATACGACATGCATTTTCGCTTTGTCGACATACAGCTAAGACACTTTAACTTGGTCTTTAGCTGCTCAGCAGGAATGTCCAAGCCTCTCACCACGTCGTTCTTCACCATGAACTTCAAAGCTGTCTCGTTCAGGTGAGCCAGACGCTCGTGCCACTTCATTAACGGACTGGCATCCGCATTTACAGTCGCCATAATCACGGCACTGTTATCGCCAAAGCTACCATTGTTTAACCAATAGTGAGTCCCATGATAAATGAACTCCACACAGACTCCATTTCGAGTCAAAACTTGCTTCTCCGGTAGCACTCCAGGCGCGCTGGTTGACAGCTCCCAGCCTTTGTTTACCATCAGTCCAAGACTGAGCAAATTCACAGGTCTAGTGGGTGAAAACACCACTTTATCCAGTTCCAGCGTGGTTTCACCACCGCTCAGCACACTCAATGCGTTCAGCAGCACCTTACCGCACTTTTTACTACGCGTGATGCCTCCGTCCCATACTTTGAACGAGGCCTTGGATTTCTTCATGCTTGTGAATTGTTCGTTTTGGTTGCACACATGCGAAGACGTTCCCGAGTCCAGCAGCCAATCGCCACTAAACTCATGTCTTCCTTCTTTAATTGCCATACCCACAAACGGAAGTTCGCCTTCAGAACTGCTACTACTACTGCTGCTGTCGTCCTTACGACCAGCATCTGCAGTGAGCCGCATGAAGCCCATAGAACCCACTGGCTTACTGGCCGAACCCGAGGAATTACCTCCACCGTTATTGCTCGGCTTCTTCGTCTCGGTGGCCTTGCCTTTGCCAGCTTGGGCTTTGCTTTGCTTGTTTTGTAGTGCCAACAGTCTTTCTGCATGTGTCCAACTTTCTTACAGTGGTAGCAGCGAATGACACGTCGTTTGCCTGCACCGGTGGTCTGCAGATGCCCTCGAGGACCAGGGCCGGGGCCTGGACCCTCATTCGGCCCATAATACTTCCCGTTAGGCTTCCCCATATGCATTGCCACCTGCGGGCCGCCATTGCTTGCTCCACAGTTTACGGCCGTGTCCGCCGCCATCTTCTCCATCTCATCGCGCGACAGCAGTGCGTTCTTCACTTGCTGCAACGATGGTGGGTTTCCTTGTCGGCATGAGAAGTCAAACTGGGTCACTATCTCGCGATGCACTGCACACACTCCCATCAGCATCAACTGAGACATAGACGTATCGTCTATCACGAAGCTGGGCCCCATGTGCTGCAAGCGCTGCCGCAACATGTTCATCTCTTGGATGTATTCCGCCATCTTTTGGCCCGGGGCGTACGAGTGAGTGTACAGCTCACGCTTCAAATGCACTGCATACGAGATGTCTCGCTGGGTTTTTTCGCAGTCAATGTGTCCCACATCTCCTTAGCCGTGCTGCAAATGCACACTTTTTGGGCATCAGCACCTTTTACGCCTCGGATTATAGTCTCTATGGCCAGTCGATTTCGATCGTCAAATTGGCGCTGCAACACCGGATCAAATGCATGACGCATTTCTTCACCGGTCATCACACTCCATGAGTCTCGCTGCTCAAGATAGAGCTTTAAACTCATCTGGTATACCTCGAAGGTATCGCTGAACTTCGGTGGCTTGCTGCTGCCAAATAATTTTGACCTTTGTACTACAGGAACTGCCGGTTGCTTCACACCAAGTAGTCCTGGCGACGCTCCAGCCTGCCCCACTACTCCAACCATTGGCACCCCAACGCGACTTGCATCAGCCAGCGTAACAGCAGGTTGCCCCACCGATACTACCGCTGTTTGCTTTTGGGTCGTCGGAGTCGCACTAGTTATCGTACTCTTCATACTTGCATTGACGCTCGTCGTAGATGCCTTACTTTCACTCATTACGATGTCCACGAACCAGCCTTTGGGCTCATAACCTACCAGATCACCTGGTAGTTCGCGCAGTAGACTGCAGCTTAATGGTCTCGCGGACAAGCAGGAAGTCAGAGAAACTCGACTTGCTTGGAAGGACAGGAAAAGCAAGAATGAATTCATCGTTAAGCCTTTCTACTCCGCGCAGTCTCTCATACGCAACGTGCCATGCACGCGGAGGAAAACCCGTTGGACATGCATCGCATCATCAACAGCCAAAAAGCCCCGTTGAACTCACGCGTCCCTTCTTACTGGCACGTGGTTCTTCTTGTCTCCTATATGCCTGGTCTCAGCTTGAATGACAGTGCTGCACTGCAATCAGGCAGCTTCCTGTTACAACAATCTGCTCTTCCTCACACTCGGATCATCGATCACCATCGATAACATAGCGGTCTCATTATCACGTTTTAATGCCTGTACCGTATTTGAATCTGGTCTTGGGCTCGTGTATTTGTGTATCTAAAACAATAAGTACCAAAACTAGTCCGAACCGTGCCACCTGCGCGGTAATATACTGTAGTACTATCCGATTAGCGAGGAGAAGGTGCTGAAGGGTTTTGCAACGGTAATATATGAGACTGCGTCAAACAAAATTATACTTACGAACCTAAGTACGAATTGCGATTTAAGCACTTAAACAAAAGCGGGGCGTATCCTCTATCGCATGAGCCCTTCTAAGCTACAGAACGCTTAAAACTGAAGAAGTTGTGGTCGCTCAAAAATATTATCTCCATTAATGGGCCCTCGAAATGACGATACATTTAGGAGTGTTGTGAGCTCAATATTTTTTCAATTTTAGAGATTTAAAGTTATTTAAAAGCCCTTGTTAATAAGTGCAATTGGCCAACTTTAAGCTTGTTCGTTAGCACTTCTCCGGCCGGAAAATAATTTACAGTTAGGTTTTCTTTAAATAAACCCTCGCATGTGTGATTGGTCAATGTTTGGTTAAAATGAGTTCGTATGAGGATTTGTATGAACACGAAAATGCTTTTAGTGATATACTTCTCGATTAAGCTCCGTTTGCGCTTTTTCTAGTATATTTTAAAGTTTAATTCTGATTATTTTTGACGTCAAAGCGAAAAAATCTCCACCCCTCCATAAAGTTAAAGTTCAAATGGTCAGGTATTGGCAAAAATGGCGGGAAATTTGTTCATTAAAAAAATGCTGACGCTACGTAAGTAGAGCTTTCAAACTAGCTCAACCACGCTGCCGTTGGAGCTGTACGACCGTAGTTATCGCCGATTTGAAGAACTGTTAATTATTTTTCGGACCAGACAAGTATCGACGCTGTCTTATATTTATTAGATTAGCAAGGAAAGTTGCTGAAGGTGCCGGTATAAGTAACGAGAGCGCTCAGATCGTACTTAAGTGACGGTATATCGTACGTGCACCTTCAATCAAAAACTGTAAGTGGACTGATGGCGAGAACGGCTTCATGGCGAACGCGAGTTGCCAAGGGGCCTGAGGATTCCGCTACTGCTCGCAAGCGGCGTCGAACATCTCGTGATACTTCTTCTTCTTCGGAGGAGGAGGATGATCAGGATATACTGAAAGATACGCGTCGCGGCCGGGGAAAAAGGCAAAAGGCCAGCGCCATTCTGAACGAGTTTACAAGTCTGGATGCGCTGCTGAGCAACGACCTGGCGGAAAAGCGCAAACGCGAGAACCGCGAACGCAAGCTTCAGAAACTGCGCGAGGAGAGTGAGACGGTAGACAAGGACGCGCCACTGGGGAAGCTGATGAGCAGCATGGACACCAACATGTCGACACTTTCGGGTGACAGCTACCTCTTCTCTGCCTCAGAGGTGACAGCTACGGAAGAAAAGTTTGGTTACGTATTCACGCCTATGTTAGAGGTGCGTTACCTGGCTACAGAGAGGGTAGAATTGATGATTAATTGCTGCTTTAAACAGCCGTTGCCGTACCGAGCTTACAAGGCGACGGAGACCGAGCTACAAAGCGACCTCAAGTTCGTGTACGAGACCATGCAGTCTACTGATGATGAAGAGCTGAGCGGACTGCTGTGGTCCAAAGCCATTTTGATCCGCTGCATACTTAAGCGCCAGAGTGATTCGACTACACGAGACGCTGGGATGACGCCAATATTACTACCTTCAAAGATTGGATCGTGGTTATTTATGACGAGTAAGTCTCTAGCTTAGTGGCGGATGGGGATATTTTTTGCGTGCTTTGACGAACGATGACGTTTTTTTTGCTATAGTGTCAACGCACAGCAACAGTCATGTGGTTGGGGGGTGCTTCAGCAATCTTTTCCTGACTCAGAGCTCCGCTAAGAAGATGTCAGTCCCGAACTTAAACTCAGCTCTTCCAGTGGCCTGTTTCTCGCATCCGATTGAGAATTTTCGATCTGCATTTGGCAAGAACACTCCTCCATTCGAAATGGAATGGGAGCCGTCTATCTACGACTTCCTCAATGCCTTTCGTGCATACGGTTTCCAGGACAGCAAGCGATCGATGAGTGTAAAAAGCAAGATCCCCGTGACACCCCTATGGACAAAGAGGCCCGTGCTGCCGTTTCCGACCGTGAATATGCACTATGTACTGATGTACTTGGTACTGTGTCTACGCGTCAAGACGCTTAAGTTGGAAGGGTATGACGCATTCAGCTTTACGATGTTCTTTTTGCGCATGCAATTTGAGAGCGACATCCATGCTAGTATTGTTGATCTGGCTACTGTTTGTATCGAAGAACTACTAGACGTGTTTCCTCGAGCTGAGTGGCGACGAGAGTGGGCGCCGCAGCTCGTTCTTCGGATTGCTGGAGCGAGCGAAGGTCTGTTTGATTCAGCTGCAGGCTGGCTTGCTGTTGCCCGTCGACTTCCACGCACCATGCGTGGTACACAACTCACGACGGGACTGGCCGTCTACGTCCTGCAACATCGAATTGACAAATATCCGCAACAAGGGGTACGTCCATTTGCTTGGTTTGTTTCGTGATTAGCGGGCGTGCTAATCGTTGATAATTGTGTGCAGGCGACTTCAGAAAAACCTCTAAAATTTCCAATTCCAAGTGGACTTGTTGTGGATATCGTCGCTGGTATTGTGGAGGACTTGACGCAGAAGTATGCGGAGACACGCAAGAGCAGCAAGGAATCGAAGAAAACGCCACCATTCGATCTGCTTTGTAAGAAGATCGCCCTAATGGACCTGGCACTGCAGGCTTTCCTGAACATTCTCACTGCAAACGAAATGAAAATTATGCTGGGAAAGCTTGACCAACTGGCTGATGCCCACAAGTCCACAATGTCAGCAAAATGGCACGAGCTCAAGACGTTGGTCAGTCTTATGCATCGAAAGTACTCGCTTGAAAATTTGCGCATTGGTCGCGTCCGAAGTGCATCGCCGTCTGCGAAGACAGTGCTGTCGTTTAGTGACGATGAGTAGGAATGAGTACGACTTAAGAGATACTACCTCCGTTCTGAAAAAGATAACCATTTCAATTATATTACAGCCTACCCAAAACAATACCCCCTCTATGCCGATCACTTTTTGGATTTCGAATCACTGGCTCCCGCTCCCAGCTTTCATTTTGAAAGCTGTCACCTGGGGGAGATCACGGACAGTGAGCGCCAGGCCGTCTGGGAGACCTTACTGCTTCGCAGCGTGGGAGGAGTGCTCAAACATGGAGAGATCGTTCGGGTTGCAGCGTACTTCCGTATGGGCCGCCAAGTTGTCGGGCGAATTTGGAGGCGTGGAATCAATTCGATGGGAGATCGAGTAGCAGCCGTGGTCAAGTCAAGGAAGAGCGCATGTGGTAGGAAGAAGGTGGTTCGAGCTGAGCTGTGCGAGAGAATCGCTGCAGTTCCTGTCAATGAGCGCGAAAGCCAGCGTCTGCTTCAGCGCGCGTCCAACATGAGCTGCTACCCGGTTCAGCAGCTGATCAAGGAAGGCTACATACGGCGTGCGCTCAGACAGACCCGCCCACTACTTACACCCACGCACAAGTTGGCGCGCCTCCGGCACAAGGACAAGCAAGTACATGCTGGCACTCTCCCTACGTCACTGCCTTGTGACGCTACCTCACGCGCCAATGCTAACGCGTACATGCTGCTTCTTGCAGCGAGCAGCCCCCCACCGCCTACCGCTGAAGTTCCAGAAGGCCCACTGAGCGCCCCTTCAGAATGTGGCGATGTAGTTGCCGTCTTCGATCCGTTTTTGTATCTGTAGTTGCACGGCGGAGCATGAACGCCTGTGCCTTGCTTAATTCTCACTGTCAGCTCTCGGTCATAAAGCTAGCTAGCCAGCCTCTCACAAATTAATAAACGCTCAAATGAACGAGGCGGAGCGCTGCGCAAAAAAAAACAAATGGTTATCTTTTTCCGAACGGAGGTAGTATCTTCGAAGTACAATGTAGATAAAAGTTCACGTTGGTAGCATTACTGCTGCTCTTGAATCAGAGCCGCATAATGTTTCTGCAATTTCACCTCAGTAAGCTGCTGCGAGTTCACTTCGTTCGCTGAGCGTGCCATGCGGCTCTGCAGCGCCTGCGTCTCAAGACTAGACAGATTCTTGAAGCATGCCTGTTCAATTGCAGCATTCTGAAGCTCCATCATGTGATCACGCAACAGCTCCAAGCCATGCTGTGAGCGGCGGTAAAACCCACCATTAACGACTCGAGCACGTTCGTCCAGCTTGTGGGCGCGCTTGGCAAGGAATTGCTCTGCTTCCTTCAGCTCCGCAAAACGAGCTTGCACGGCACACAGTTTGTCCCCCTGAGAATCAGCAAACTGGAAAAACACATCACCGCTCTTTCCTTCACTCTCAGCCTTGCTCAAATGGCGCGCTTGGACTTCCTCCCATTTCGCACCAAGAAATAAGGCGTCCTTGGACTTCCAGACGTCGTTCACCCCAGATAAAGTAGCCTCGACTTGCACCATTTGCCGAGCACGCTCCATGTCGCTATCAGAAAACTGTTGCAAGTTCGGGATTGCAACTGAGCGGGAGGATTTTTTGCGCTTCTTGCTATTCTTCGCCTTGCCATCATCCACGGGGTATTTAACAACATCGTGTTCCAGCATTCGATACATTTCGTCTGCAACCTCGTCAATTTCGTTATGAATCAGCAATTTCTTTACCTTCGATGGGCGAGGGAGCCCTTTTTGCACGGCAGCTGATCTCCGCATAAGCTCACGTCCACGTTCCAGCTCACGCTCGTGATACTTACGAGCTTCTCGCTCACCAGCGTCCTCCTCGAGAAGAGCAGTGGCACGATCCTCGTCATTCGTTTCGTTGTCCGGAGCGTTAATCTCATATTCGTTTTGAGGAGCAGGCAAACTATCAAAGCCCTTCCGTAGGCTTGCAGCTTGGCGCTTTGTCCGAGCCTTCTCCGCCTTAGCATTCTCAGCCTCTGTGCCGTAAAGCTGCTCTGGGTTAATGCGTAACTCGTCGCGCAGGGGTGTACACGCTGCAGACATCGGCGTCTTGTCATTGACTGTACTGGACACAGCAGATGATGGTGTCCTAGATGGGGTAGCTCCCACGTAACCTGTTCCTTCATAGAGCTCCACGTTTTCACCGCCCAATAAAGGGGTAGTACTGTCTCGCATGGCAAGTAGATTGGCCGTTTCCTGAATAATATTCTCGTGCACGTCTCGACTAAAAGGCGTTGTATTCGCTCCTCCAGTGATAGAGCGCAGTGGGGTGATACTATAGTCACCCATGAGAGCACGCGTCTCGGTGGCAGCAGCGTGGGTAGCATGTAATCCCAGCTTCGCGAGATCGCTTAACTCATCGTTGGAAACCACAGGAGCAGGCAGCTCAAGCGGAGTGCGCTTGATCGCATTGATCGGGTCGTTTTTCTCATTCACCGCAGCGATAAGTTGCGGTAGATTGGCCTTCATCAGCGATCTCTGCCGCTTAGCATCCTGTTTGCGCTCCTTCTTCTCCTGGGCGTCACGACGCACGCCCTCAAATTTGTCCAGCTGCAGCGCTGCGTGCTTGGGGTCAAGTCCCTTGCTAGAAAGTCGGTTTTCCTCGGAGACATCATAAAACCCAGCTGGGGCTCTCTTTTCGAACGGAATCTCACTGGAATAGTCGATGAACTTGCGCTTCTTCGTGCTTACTCTCGGGTTGGACGACATGATGCCAGCTGCCTTCAATTCACGTTTCTTCTGCAATACAGCGAGACGTCTTGCCTCTTCTAGCTGCTTCTCACGAGCCTTGCGCTTAGCTTTCTTGCCCTTGGTATTGGCCAGACGAGCTCTGGCTTCGGACAGCATTTCCTTCTCATCTTCGTCCATGTCCACTGGATCGGGACGTGCCGGTTTGTTTTCCGGGTTGGGATCGATCTCCCCAGGGCGGAGACGTCTCGGGTCATCACTGACTTCGACGCCCTCCTTCTGCTGGGCTGCATCGAGTAGCCGCTCATAGTGCTCCATGCACTGCGCAGCTGTACGACCCACAATGGGGGCAATGGTGCGCCACTGCGAAGGCATGAGTTTAGCGAGATGAAGTAGTTTTTCCTCCTCCTCGCGACTCCACTCAGTCTTCTTGATGCTTGGGTCCAGCCATTCGTACCAGCGGGCCTTGCATTGCTTGGCTGATTTTCGCGATAACAGCGACGCCACGCGCGCCCACTGGTTCATACCGTATTTCATTACAGCTGCCTTTAGGATCTCATCTTCCGTGTTCTTCCACACACCGCCCTTGATCATGATCCGCATGGCTGCCGCAAAAGAGGGGGTGCACCGCACAGACAGGAGGAAGTAAAATCGCGATACCACCAAACACACTTAGTTAGTGTAGAGGTTGGTGTGGCACGAATGGGGGGCAGAATTGACTTTTTTGCAGACATTTTCTGTCCATAATGAAGACAGTTACGAAAAACGTCGTTCAAATCAGGTGTTTTTTTAGGCATTCTTCGTGCAAAATGAACCGAAGTAAGTTCAAGCATCATAAGGATTTTGCATAAATAGTACCGTTAAAGGCGCTTGCGCCCTTAAACTATTCATGATATTTTCTGAATTGTAAAACTTACGCGTGAAATTTTATATTCGCCGGAAAATAACCAGTGTGTACACTACAATCTCTAATAAGTTCGAAGAATGCCGTTAAGTGCGATGAAGCGGCTCTCGTTAATGCACCTTTATATCGGCGCCATTCAGCAGCTTCCCTGTTAAATCGAATGCAAACTATTTATGAATTATTCTGTGACCCGCGCCGTTCGTGGTAAATTACCACACCGGGAGAGAGCGGCCCGGACCGATCCATTCGCAAAGACTTAGACGAAGATCGATACGACGCCAAAAGACGATCAGGATGCCCACAGGGGAGGACACGGCGGCACTGGTAACAATGCTAATCGCTAACCCCAGCGACAAGGTCTCCAGGCGAAGTGTGACTGTGTCGAAACTGCTGTGGAGCCGTGTCTCAGAGATCGAGGAGCTCCAGCTCAAGCTGGTCAAGATGCAAAGACTGCTGGGAGATCTGCTTGAGCTGGACGAAGGAATCGCTGCACGCCTCTCTGAAGACATGAACGAAGCAGTGCAGACGGCAACTGTAACGGGGTACGTAGCCCTACGTGTACCCCTAGTTACATGAAGTGTGACACTTCACACTTCAGAAGTATGACACGTCATACTTCGGGATATTTGGTACAAGGTACCAAGGTCGTCCAAAGCCAACCATTGGCTGGTGACATTGCATTTCTATAGGTGACTTATAGTTTGTATTAAACCCAAGCTTTATCTACCTATAAATATACCCAGTTTACATTCTACCTTAAATAGGTCACTTCGCTCTCTTTTGATAAAGAGGGGACCTGTGAACTGCCGTTCACTGAGAGTTTGTATACTCTCGGAAGCCAACTTCCTCAAGCGCAAGGTGCTGTGGGACCCCGTCACACTTGGTAGAACTAGAAGTCAATCCACTCCACCGCGGGTAGACTACCTGAACCTCTCCGAAGCTCGTTGCCATGGATAGGAATGACTTCTCCCATATGAACGACTCACAGTTCGAGTCGGTTCGGAAGATGGCAGGCATCGTCGGGATGGAGGCCCCGCAGAGCCTGGTGGTGTCAACACCGGCCGAGCAGCTCGAGCGCGTCAATGCGTTTGACGCTTACGAGAAGGGGCTCATCGCGCATGTGCGGAAGAACCTGCAGGCTCCGGCGGCGGAAGCTAATCCGCCCCACCGAAGCCAATACGGCTGAAGGTTAAGCCGTATGAAGGGAAGGAAGGCGAGAACCTTCACTTCTGGGTCCAAGAAGTAGAGCTCGCAATGGACGCGGCTCTGATCTCGACCGAGCAACTTCGTGTTGCTTTTGCACTCTCCAACCTTAGCGGCCGTGCTAAGAGCCGGGTGTACACACGGGAGGCAACATCCCCTGGATGTTTCACATCCTGGGCTCAGTTGTGTGAACAGCTCCGAGCCGCGTTCCTCCCGGCGAACTACGAGTACCGCCAGCGTTCGCGCTTCCTCTCGTTCAAGCAAGAGAGGCGTGAGCTGCATAAGTACGTCCAGGAAATACGGGAGCTCACGGCGTCCCTATTGGGAAACCCACTCAACGAACACATCAAAATGACAGTGTTCATGGACGGCCTTCGAGTGGGCCCAGCGCGCACTCAGCTGTTCCGGGTGCAGTCAAGCACCCTTGAAGAGGCGATTCAAGTGGCTCTTCAGGAAGAATACAGCCATCGCCAGGCGCGTACGCCGGCCTCAGCATGACCGGGGAGTTCTTTGTCGACTCCCGGTCGAACGAACTCCAACGGACCAGCTCCCATGGAGCTCGGGTCCGCCGAGCAACGTGACATCCGCTGCTTCGGCTGCGGGAAGATGGACCACTTCAAGCGCGACTGTCCCGCGGAAAGACTCCACAGACGGTCTTTCCCCAAGCCCGTCCTCAAGGGTCGCTGGCAGAAGCCAGGATCCCGGGGACAGGGGGACGCCGGAAACCAGTAGGGGCGAGGCGCCCTACTGGGAAAGAACTAAGTCTTCGTAAAGAGTGCGCGGGTGGCGCGTACCACGGGGACTTAGCCCCTGAGAGTCTTCGCACTCTCGAATCGGCGAAGAGCAGCGGCGGGTTGCTCGTAGTACACGGATGTGTACGGGGATACGACCATCCCTTTAGAATCTTGATCGATTCTGGGGCGTCGAGAATTTCGCACGCCGCCAGACAGTTGCTCGTAATAGCAACAAGTTGTCCGATGCTTTGAGAGAGAGCAAGGGCAACGGGACGGTGTCAGTGCAACTGGCCGACGGGAAGGTCGTCACTGTCCCTAACATCGAAGTGGATCTGGCCATCAAGTTTGAAGACTTTGACAGCCTCGAACAGTTCACTGTTCTCGATATGGATCCATATGACATGATCCTGGGCATGCCCTGACTTGAGAAGCACGAGCCCTGGATCGACTGGCGAGGCAAGGCAATCGGTGCCAGCCGCCCTGCGCAGTCCGACAGAGCATTGGTGAGCCATGTTCCCACCTCTGTCAGGACCCGGGGCGCCCGCAAGGGTTGCCAGGGTACCAAAGCATCCGGCAGATGCTTGATAGTCGTCGACGTATATGACGACTCGAAGGATGTTTTGATGGTGGCAGCGCCCAGAGGAGGCGCTGGCCAAGTGGGTAACTTAGGTCCACAAGCGGGTAACTTAGTTCCGCAGACAGCTGCAGCTGTCACGAACACTGACAATAGTGTGTTCAAGGTGGGTAACAGAGTTCCACACACGGTCGCCTAGACCTTAACTGAAGAGGAAGACGTCGGATACGCTTCCTGTGTGGGTAACATAGTGCCACACGCGGTCACCCAGACCTTAACTGAAGAGGAAGACGTCGGATACGCTTCCTGTGTGGGTAACATAGTGCCACACGCGGTCGCCCAGACCTTAACTGAAGAGGAAGGCGTCGAACACGCTTCCTGTGTGGGTACCACAGTACCACATGAGGCCACGAGTGCCTCGGATGTCGGAGCACCGACATCCCCAGACGTGGGAAGCAAAGCTCCACGTCACGGTCGCCGTCGACGACGACGCCGCCGCCGCCACAAGTCGGATCCGAACATCGTTCAGATCGACGTCGCTTCAAGCGACTCAGAGTCCAGGACCCAGGCTCCTCCGACAAGGCCGGTGGAAGAGTGTTATCACATCTTCGATGGCGAGACCGGTTTACCCGTCAAGGCATCTGGTGTCCACTTGGAGCCGTTGCCAGAGGTTGCAGAGATACTGAACCTCGAGGAAATGACGGTCGAGTCTTTCCTGGCCAACCTCAAGGCTGGAAATGTTGCTGAGATGGTGCTCATGAGACCTCCGACCACTCGGGAGGAGCTGAACTCCTCCTCTGTCTTGGACGAGAACGTCCTGGAAGACCTAAGCAAGCAGCGTCTGACGCGCTTGGGTTCTGAGATTCTTAAGAACCCCAAGGACCAGGTGTATCCTTTGGTGACGGAGTATGCGGACGTGGTGAGCAAACACCCACCGACCCAACTCCCACCGTGCGGCACGAGATTGATCTCGTGCCTGGCACAAAGTATTGTGTCACGAGGCAATGGCCTCTCCCGCGCGAACAGTGCGAGGTCATTGATGCCTTCTTCACCGCGAAAGCGAAGGCAGGCATGGTGCGGGAGTCGAAGTCCCCGCACTCGACGCCAAATTTCTGTGTTCGGAAGCCGAACGGAAAGTGGCGTCTAGTTCATGCTTATAACAAGCTGAACAGCGCGACGGTGCCGGCCCAAACACTAATCCCACGAAAGGATGTGTTGCTGACAACATGGCTGGAAGCGTACTGTACAGTGCGCCGGGTTTAGTAGACGGATACTACCCGATCCTGGTGCGCGCGAGCGACATCCCGCTCACCGCGATGAGCACTCTAAGCGGCATGCTTTGGGAGTGGCTCGTCATGCCGCAGGGCTTGTCTAATGCCCCGGTGACGTTCAACCGCCTGGTGACGAAATTGTCCAGGCCATTGCGCGCCTTCGTACAGACGTACTTCGACGACATCTTCGTCCATAGCCGTGCCGAGGGAGGCAAGACGGCCATGGAGGTGCATCTGGGGCACCTCCGTCGAGTGTTGAACGTGATGCGAGCGCACAAGCTCTACGCCAACATCGACAAGTGCGTCTTCGCATCACCAGAGATTAACGTTCTCGGTTGCTTCGTAAGCAACGTGGGCGTTCGGGCTGACCTAGACAAGGTCAAGGCCATTGCAGCATGGCCAACGCCCCGATCCCAGAAGGATCTCCGAAAGTGGTTAACTTCCTTCACAAGTACAGCGCGGGGTACGCGGGTTTTGCTAAGCCCTTGTCGGGCCTCCTTCAGAAGGACATCGACTGGCACTGGGAGCGAGAGCACCAGGATGTCTTTGACAGCATCAATGCCAGTCTCCAAGAGGCCCCTGTCCTGGCCCTGCCAGACGAGACGAAGCCGTTTAGCGTCGTCTGCGATGCCTCCGACTACGCCATCGGGTGTGCATTGCTGCAGGCCGACACGGCTGGACATAAACGAGTCATCTCGCTCCAGTCCAGGCAGCTCAAAGCCGCCGAATGGAACTACCCTGTCCACGACAAGGAGCTCCTGGCAATGAAATATGCCCTTGTGAAGTTCCGTGTTCACCTTCTGGGCTCCCGGCCCTTCGTGATCTACACAGACCACGTATCCTTGAGGACAGCGACTCACTCGCCTCACCTCTCCCAAAGGATGGCGAGGTGGCTGACCTTCTTCGCGGAATACAACTTCTGCGTCGAGTACAATCCGGGC